GTGCTTGAGATTGAACTAAGGACCTCACACAGCTAATCTGACACACTGCCGTGGAACTTTACCCCCAGCTCAAGGCCCAATTTTGTTTGTTTGTTTTGAGACAGGTTCTCCCTGTAGCCCCTGCTGGCGTGGAACTCACTATGTAGACCAGGCTGGCCTCAGTCTCAGAGATCTGGCAAGGCCCAGTTTTGAATGACTCCTGTGTTGGCATTCAGCTTTAAATTCCTGAAATAAATCTGTATTTGGGGGCTAAAGTGACTAGAGGATTTTTATCACCCAAGGACAATCAGACAAGTTGTGAGATTGTCCAGTGCTGGGGTAGATCTCTTCCTTCAGAATTTCTTCTGAAGGGACACTGGTGGCCACCAGCCTCCAGGCAGTCCATCAGTGTCCCGTGATCTAACCAGTGAGCTCACTGAATGGGAGCACTGGGCTTGCTCATTCACATTCAGCAAACTGCCAAGTAGAGGCGCAGCAGACAGGGACAGAAACTGGTAAAAGACCTGAGGGGAACGGCTGCTGGAAACTGGAAGGATGAGGGCGCGGGGTGCGTCTGGAAACCATGTAAGTATGGATAGTCAGAGATAGCTGACAACCACCCTAAAAGTCTTGACTTCAGGGTCTCCATTAGTGTAACAACAAGTGAAGACTTTGTGAGTCAATGGGGCCCCATCAACTGGCGGTTGAAAATCTGGGGTACAATGAATGCCTGGCTGATAATTGGTCTAGGCTCCTACTGTGAGGAATTTGATCATCATGAGGGATGGGCTTTGGTAGCAATGTTGGTGCTCCCAACGCCCCATACCATAGGTTATGGGACTGGAGGGGGAGGACAGGGCCAATCCTACTTTCTCTTCATCGAATTTGGCATTGAAGTAGCGCATACCTTTAATCCCAGCAATTGGAAGGTGTGTTCGAAGCCAGCCTGGTCTACAGATCAAGATCCAGGACAGCTGGGGCTACAGGGAGACGCTGTCTGAAAAAGACAAAAAACAAATAAAGAATTTGGGATTGGGTCAAGGACATATGTGTAAAGACTAGCTTTACACATGGACAGAGGGAAGATGGCTTTCAGAACAGAGCTGAGCAGGAATGTAGAGAATGCCAGTTTGGGGACAGAGAGACTCCCTCTGTGTTCCTTGTGGCAGCTCAGGCATAAGTTCCTGGCCCTCCTGAGGCTTCTCTGACTCTTTCCCTTTCCTTTTAGAAGACATTCTTCTGTATTTACAATTCCTATTATTAGTCTGAAGAGATTTACTATTCAGTGGCTTTTAAGCCAGAGCCATACATTGCAAATGCATTTTTCCTTTTGAAAATGTATTTTTGATTCACTTGTCTCTCTCAGCTAGGTATACTGATGCTTGTCACTTCCTAATTCCCTCCATGTTCTTTTTAAAAAAATATTTTATTATTTTTATTTTATGTGTATGAGTGTATTGCCTTCATATATGTAAGCACACCCATGTCGTGCAATGTCTGAGAAGGTCAGAAGAGGGAGTTGGATCTCCTGGAATTGGAGTTTCAGACATTTGTTAGCCACCATGTGGGTGCTGGGAACTGAACTGGGTCCTCTATAAGAACAGCCAGTGCTCATAACCACTGAACTATCTGTTCAGTCTGATGTTTCTCTGTAGTTCTCTGGGTACAGAGTCCTGTTCCTACTCTTTGGGGTGACTTCTGTTCATTCTTCAACTGGTTCCTCATTCCCTCACAGATGATTTTATTGTGTGCCCACCCCACCCTTAATTCTCCACTACCTGTATAGTAATGGTCTGTTTACAGACTTGTCAGAGTCTGTGTCTTACTCACTGTTATATCTCTAGACCTAACTATGGCAAATAGTTTCTTATAGATGCCTGCTGAACTGGTTCAATGATAAAACGCTCATCTCTCCAGTGACTCTGGGAAAAGAGAGAAACAAATAATGATTGTATTTTGACATGAGCAACTTAATACTATGCCCCCCATCAGGAATCCTTGTAATACCATAACACATGAACTTCTGACCACTATCCACAGGGTTCACTTTACTTTCTATGGTTGTTTGAATGAGAACTGTCCCCCTGATAGACCCAAGTACTTGAATATTTGGTCCCCAGTTGGTGGTGCTATTTGGGGAGATCATGGAACCTTTAGGAGTTGTGGCCTTGCTGGAGGAAGTATGTCTCGGGGGGTCGGGCTTTGGGAGTTTACAGCCTTGTCCCACTTACAGTTTGCTCTCTCTACTTTGTGTTTGCTGTTGAAGATGTGAGTCTCAGCTTCGGCCGCCCTGCCTCCCCATCATGGTGGACTTTTATTCCTCTGGAACCACAAGCCAAAATAAAGTCTTCTATAAGTTATATCAATAGAAAAGTAGCTAATACACTCTCTGACTGTTCTGAGGCTGCCCCCTTTGCTGTTCTCCCATACCTTGGTCCTTCCTTGATGTTTCTCCAACACCACACTTTTCTTCTTCCTTCAGGGTCACTGCTGTTTTCTCTGTCCTGGAGTTTTGCAACATTGGTATTTCTTCACTAAGGTGAATCTTACAGCCTTTCTACTTAAAGCCTTTCTCTCTCCCTTCTCAGGTAAAGCTCTTCCCTTGTCCTCCTGGCCACTTCCCCTTTTTCTTCTTGGCCCTTATCCTGCTCTGCAGTTTTTCCGTTTGGTGGCTCATTATGTCTTCCACAGATGAAAACAGCTTCCAGCCTGTTTTTATTCTCTGAATGCTTAGTAGTAGGTGATTAATATTGACTACATGTTTGATGAGTATATGAATAAAGGATAGTTTTAGAGATACTTAACTATTTAAAAAAATTATTCATTATTTTAATTGTATGTGTATGAGTGTATTGCCTGCATGTATGTAAGTGCACCAGTGTGGTACAATGCCCGCAGAGGACAGAAAAGGCCATTGGATCCCCTGGAATTAGAGTTGTTAGCTGCCACTGCCATGTGGATCCTGGGATTTGAACCTGGGCCTTCTGCAAGAACAGTCAGTGTTCTTAACTGCTGAGCCATCTCTCCAGTCCCGGGATACCTAATTCTAAAGCAAAAATTGTGGTGGGCTTTTAGGCATTAGTGTAGACATTAGAGGGGCGACCTCACTTTGTCATAGTAGAAAATCTAAGTTCCTTTAAAAAATTATATAATTAAAAAAAAAAGCTCACATTGTTATTTTCTGAGTATTTCCGAGTATTTCTGACACAGATTTCCAGGCTATTGCTTAGGATCCCACCTAATACAAAAGTTCTGTAGACACTTTATCTGGCAGCTCTGTCCTCCAAAAAGCTTACTTTTTTCTCAGGAAATAGAGGAAAAAAAGATTTTTCATTTTCCTTTGAACCATCTTTTCTTGTTCTTTTCAAGGTAATTACCATTTCTTTCCTTTCCTAGGTTTGATTTTTGTCTACCTACATTTGTTCACTATCATATAATTCATGAAGTTGTTGGAAGAAGTGCTTAATTTCAAATGGCCTGTTTTAGAACTTTATGAGGTTGGTACTGTAGCTAGAAAGAATTCTGGAGTGAGATTTGAATCACTCATAAACTGGCCAGGATGACAGACAGCTGGCCTGGCTGAGGATGCCCTAGAGCTCCAATTACTTTGATTACTTTAAATACAGGTTATTGATCCTTAGCTCCTTCCACCTCCCTCAGTTTTTAATATTGGAAGTCTTTCACCTTATGAAACTGTCACGTTCTTTTCTTTCCACCATTAGCTGAGCTTTCCATATCACCTGAATTTCTGTATTTTGTTTTCTCTTTTTGGCAAAAGCTTTATTTATTTTGTACTTTATATTAGAAATTCTTTGCATCAAGGACTCTGCCAATAATTTTCTTTACATGTCATTTATGTGCTGCATAAATATTCGGAAAGAATATACAACCCCCCCGTCATGACTGTAAAGTGCTTTAGGAAACTGAGGGGTGCTGGTACTTGTTCATAATTTTTTGATGGTCCTTCAAAGTTGAGGGTTATTACTGTATTTTCCTCTATAGTGGAAGAATCCATCTCCTCCATATCTTCAATTTTTTTAACCTGATCTATTTTTCTATCTTTTTAAGAATATGTCTTTTAAAATTATGAAAATAGGGGCTGGAGATGGTTCAGCAGTTAAGAGCACTGACTGCTCTTGCAGAGGACCCAGGTTCGATTTCTAGCACCCACATGGTGGCTAACAACTGTTGAAACTCCAGTTCCAGGGGAATCCAACGCCCTCTTCTGACCTCTGTGGGCATTGCATGACAAAAGTGCCCTTACATGCAGGCAATACACTTATATACATAAAATAAAACAAATAAATAAAATATTAAAGAAATAAAATTTTGAAAATGATGCTTGCTCTTTAGAGAACACAGACAGCAGGGAGAAGCTCACCTCCAGTCTCACCAAAGGTGAAAATACTGAATGACTTTTCTTCATGTGTTACAGTCTATTCAATTTTATGCAGTATTTTAAATATGCCTCCATGACCTCGCTAAATTCACGTGATGTTGAAGATCAGAATATTCACCAAAAGTTCTCACGTCAACCACAGAATGGCAACGGACTTAGAGAGCTCGCATCCGGTACAGGCAACCCGGGCATCCGCGGTGGCTGGCTCCTACCACACCAGATTAGGCAGCCACCTGTGACTGCGAAGCCAAAGGCAAGCTCAACTGGAGGGGAGGGGCGGGGTGAGGAGGAGGAGCCACAGTGCTGCCACCAATCAGAACCCTGCTTTGTTTTCCCTTTGCCAACCAATGAGCGGCGCTCCGAGCCGCCTTCTCCTTTGGCAGGCTATCAGCAGACCCCGGGTAGGCATCACTCACCTCCATAAGCCCCGCCCCCTCCACAGCCCCGCCCCCAGCCAACGCCACACAGGCCCCGCCCCCCGGCAGTCTCCGCCCCCTCGGCTGGAGGTGGGGCGGGTTCCTTGGGCTCCTCGGTCCAGCTCCCGCCGTGGCGGAGCGAGAGCTGGCTCCTGATTGTCCTTCACTCGGAACCCTGGGCTGCTCGGCCGAGCCGGCGCGCCTGGGGACCGCGTCTGTCTCAGGTAACGGGGTGCGTGGGACTGTAGCGCCTCTCGGGGCCTCGGCTCCTGGGGTCCCGGACCTGGCGGGGGCCTCCGGCGCCTCAGCCCGGGCTCCCGCGGCAGCACCTTGTGCAGAGGCGGCCCGCCGGGCGCAGGGGAGGAGAGTAGGGCGCGGGGCCACCCTTGGGACCCTGCGGGGCGGCCCCTAGCTCTCCTATGGGCGCACCGGGACCCGGCACCTTGCGCAGAGGCGGGGCCGGGGATGCGTGCGCTGCCCCCGGGAACCACGGATCGACCCTGCGACCCCACGGCGTGCGCTGGATCGCGGCGGCGAGCGGAGGCGGGAGGACCTGCCGGTGCAGGGCACTGCGGGGCTGAGTCACAAACGCTCCGAGGGACCGGGACTTGCTAAGAAGTAGCGATGAGCTTTTTCCTCCCGTAAGCCAGAAAGACGTCTTTACTAGAGTCGTGCTGCTTATAGGTTTATTAGACAGACGGGCGTCTGGCTGTGCGATGTTCGTGGTGACGTTATTTGCCTTTTTCGTGAACTTGTTTGGGGATGTTTACCTGTGTGACAAGTAGACCTAGCGCAGTGCCTGGTGACTCACATTTGCGCTGATGATATGGGGAAGGAAGGGTGAGAGGAATGGGGGGAGGAATGTTCCTAGGAGTGCCTGTGCCGCTGTCACTGTGTCGTGGTGGTGGTGGGAGTACAATTGTGATTCTTTTTTGTTTCTTCTTTAAACCAATAGCATTAAAGAAGTCTTTCTAAAAGCTAAAAGCTATCGCTGGACTTTTTAGACTTCAGGACTGCACCTGCTGATCATGTTTAATGCTTGGCAGACAAGGCCTAAGCAATTCCAAATGAGTTGATATACTTGAAAAGTACCTTGAAAAACTGCTAACTTTTCTTTCTTTCTTTTCAAAGTTCAGTAATTTTTTAAATTGAATTTTTGAGATTTTTCAGACAGTATAGTTTGATGGTATTTAGATCCCTCCCCTCTTCGCACCTTCCCCCATTGTCCCCTGGCCCAATTTTATACACACACACACACACACACACACACACACACACACACAGAGACATAATGTAGAATGTAACTGCTCATTTGCATGAACTTACAAAGCAGTGGTGTCAGCACGCACAAGGCCTTATGCAAGCTCAAATCAGAAAATCCCAGCATGGACACGGGGAAGTGGATAAAAAATTCTCAGCCCAACCTAAGGTACTCTTGGCAATTGATGGCTGCTGGGAGGGGGAAGACAGTATATTATAGGGATGGGACTCTTGGTGAATCCAGTGAATGGACTCACACTGAAGGGCATTTGGGGACACAAATCAGATGCTGTTAAGTTTTCTTTACCCTGCTCAGTACACCATCTGTCCACAGTGAAATAATGGAGGTCACCAAGGCTTAGAGGTTTAATAGAAATACCACAGTGAATACCTTTGGAAGAGCATCTCCCTGCCCAGTCAATGCACTCTGGTTCTGTAGGACAGTTTTCACTAGTGAGCACACTAGTTGAGCTCATAGCACTTAATCAGTTTTACTACTCTTCCCAAAGGAGGGTGTGCATAGCATGCCCATTTTAGAGGTACAGGGAATGAAAGCTCTAGAGGTGGATATACTCAGCTTTAATCTGAGATCTGGGTAAGGCTCCCGTTATCAAACAAACTTTTCCATACGAGTTTTATCACAGCACAGGATCTGGACTAGAGATGGTTATTTTCAAGTAAAGGAATACTGTACTTTTTTTTTTTTTTGTTTTTTGCCTTTTTCCTCCTAAGTTGCTAAGGTGGCTTAAAAGTCACTAGAAGGTATTTTCCACAGAGGCAAGACAAAACAAAACTTGATAGTGCTGCTTGAGCTTCTCTATCTAAATTGTTTCGGGGAGGGGGCTTTGCAAATTAGAGAGCTTCATTTATTGAATCCCTAGCTTAGCAGTGGCTTTCAATAGTTTTGTGAATCAATCTAAAATAACATGCATTATTGTGATGCATTTTGGTTATGATATGACTTTGGGGGAAAATCCTTAAATTTATGGAAGAATTGAAAATGTAACAATTATTTCTTAATTAGAATGTCTCTGGCCAAGGGAGTTTATGGGTCAAATGTGGAGCAGACTAAGATGGGTAACTGAGTGACGGCACGGCTTGGGGAGTTCTAGAAAATTGTTAGGTTTTGCTAATGGAATTTTTAATTGGAAATATGGAAATATTCCAATTTCCATGAGGACTGTACTTTTCATGAAGAAATCCTTTTGTGCTGGATAGCTTCTGTTGTCAATTTGACATAACTGGGAAGAGGGACCCTCAACTGAGGCATTGCCTCCGTTGGATCCGCCTTGTGGCCATGTCTCCAAGGCACTTTCTTAATTGCTAGTTGATGTGGGAGGGCTCAGCCCATTGAAGGAGGTGCCAGCCCTGGGCAGACTTCGCAGAGGCCAGGGGAACAAGCTAGGAAGCAGCATTCCTCCATGGTTTCTGTTTCAGTTCCTGCCTCCAGGTTCCTGTCTTAGCTTCCCTCCATGATGGACTATAAACTGTTAAGGTGAAATAAACCCTTTTCTTCCCAAGTTGCTTTTGGTCATGGTGTTTATCACAGCAATAGAGAAGCAAACAATAGAGGAAACAGAAATTTGTACCAGAGAATGGGATTTTGTATGGTGGACCTGACCATGTTGTTTGGGGGAGGATTGTAGAAGTGTTTGGAACTTGAGCTGGAAAAGCTGTTGAATATTTGGAGCTTAGTGAGGTTTTCTGTGAGATCTTGGAGAAATGTAGATGATAGAGACCTTGCTTGTGAAATTTCAAGGGAAGCAAAGACTATTGGTATGATATTTTGAATTAAGAATCTGTAGGTTCTGGTCAGCTGGAGCTGAAGAATCATCTGTGATTAACAAGAGACCAGCACCACTAAAGTGAACCTTTGTTTTACTGGGATAATCGATGCTAGTTAGATGGGACTTAAAAATCAGCCATGAAGCCGAGCGTGGTGGTGCATGCCTTTAATCCCAGCACTTGGGAGGCAGAGGCTGGCAGATCTCCATGAGTTCAAGGCCAGCCTGGTCTACATAGTGAGCTCTAGGACAGCTGGGGCTATAGGGAGACCCCATCTCAAAAAGACCAAAAAAGAAAGAAAAAAACAATCACCTATCATTGACAAGAGACCAGGATCATTGAGGTGAAATCTGTGAAGTATTTCCTCAGCATCAGTACACAGAAGCTGTAATCTAGAGGAGGCCAAGGCTGCATCTCAAGCTGGAAGCTGGACTTGCTAATGTGCAAGAGTCTCTCACATAGTACTGGTTTTGCTGGCATGCAAGCTGAAGAATTGTAAGGGTTATGGAGAAACTCTGAAGCTTGGCACCGTGAGACCCCAGGGGAGGCCATTGGTGAAGATTCAGCCTCAGTTGCAGTGAAGATCCTAGGATATATTGGAGATGCTAGGACCATGGGAAGACTACCAAAGACTGCAGCGAGTATGGGGTGGAGCCAGCCTGAGCCTATGAGACAAACTGTGTGTGCTGTGGGTGGCAGAGCCAGCGAAGTGGAGCTACTCAAGCCCTTTGGAGCCCAGGAGATTGTAAGTGAATCTCAGATGTCTATGCTGCTGGACTTCAGTTTTGCTTAAGTGTATCCTGGTTCTTGTTCTTAAAATAAGACTGTAGATAACTTATTTGGGATTTTACAGGATCCTACAGTTAAGAGACTTTTTAAGAAACTTTGAACTTTGAAGTGTTTGAATTTTTTAAAGACTGTGGGACTTTTAAAGTTGTACTATGCTTTATATTGTGATATTAATATTAACATGAGATCTTGGGGATAAGAAATGGACAGGTAATGGTTTATTAGTGATGTGTTTATATGTCAAGTTGACAAGTGGTCAGTTTTGTTAGATAGCTTCAGTCGTCAACTTGACATACCTAGGAAGAGGGAACTCAATTGAGATAATCCTTCCTTCGGATTGGCCTGTGGCCATATCTCCTAGGCATTTTCTGATTTATGTGGGAGGACCCAGGCGATTGTGGGTGATGCTACCCCTGGGCAGGTGGTCCTAGGCTGTATAAGAAAGCAGACTTAGCTCAGGCCAGAAGAGCAAGCCAATAAGCAGCACTCTTCCGTGGTCTCTGCTTCAGTTCCTGCCTCTAGGTGCCTGCCTTGGGTTCTCTCCATGTTGGACTGTAAACTATAAGGTGAAATAAACCCTTTCCTCCCCAAGTTGCTTTTGTTCAGTATTTTATTATAGCAATAGAAAGTTAACTAGGACACTGTTGTTGTATTGTAATTCATCTGCAGTATGTTACAGGCTCCCCACATTTCAATATGACTTATTTGTGTATCATACAAGATGACCTTATACAAGGCTTGTTGGTCTGGTGTTCTCTCTCTCTCTTTTTCTCTCTCTTTCTCTCTCTCCTCCTTCTCCTTCTCTTCTCCTCCTTCCCCTCCTTCCCCTCCTTCCCCTCCTTCCCCTCCTCCTTCTTCCTCTTCTTCTTCTTCTTCTTCTTCTTCTTCTTCTTCTTCTTCTTCTTCTTTCTTCTTTCTTCTTTCTTCTTTCTTCTTTCTTCTTTCTTCTTTCTTCTTTCTTCTTTCTTCTTTCTTCTTTCTTCTTCTTCGATAGAGTCTTGCTGTGTAGCCCAGACTAGCTTAGAACTTACTGTGTAACTCAGGGTGGCCTTGAACTTGCAGTGATCCTCCTACCTGTTTCCCGAGTGCTGGGATTATAGGCCAGCCCTAGGCCAGGCTGTTTCTTCATACTTGGTGCTGTTATTTAACTTCTACTCTCCAGTCAATTGAAAATTGTTAGCACTCAAGCAAAATTTTCTATAGCAAAATTTATATCATCTGTTCACTTGGGAATACTGGAGTCCTTCCTTCTGAACTCAACTCTTCTGCAGTGAAAGAAATTGGAGTAACATTGTAGCTACTAAAGTGTTTTACCTGTATTCCTATCTGAGCCTTCTATCCTCTCTTCCATGAGTTTCTAGAATTGTGCATTTTTTCTCCTTTTTTAAAA